CCCCAGACCCCTCATAGCCCCCCCCTTCTGATAGTCCGTCATATCTCATAATCCGGCACCCCCTGGGTCCTAAAGGTGCCGGATTATCGGAAGTTTACTGTAAAAGCAGAGTAGACGGTATTAATAGTATCCCAATGCAGCAGATATCCTGTTAGGTTGCTCTATGAGTTTAGGGCCGAGTCCTCCTTTTTCCTTCCTTTCTTTAAAAGTTAATTTACTGAATGCCTGGGGAGAGGAGTAACAGCTGCATACTGCTGATTGTGAGAAGGTATTTAAATTTTTTTTGGAGTAGTGTAGTGTTCTGTACCAATGGCCATTAGCACCAGCCGGCAAGGAAAGCAGAAGTTTGGGGATAACGTGAAGCTGAGCGACTGCTTTTGTAAAACAGCACTCAGAGCAGGGGAAGAGCAGGCCTCTGAACAGCTGCTCCAGAATCAGATGCTAATAGCATGTGACACTTTGTACATGTGAGGAATTTTCATAGACCTAAACAGGTGGAAATGACGAATGGTTATTGTTTTTCACTAATGGAAAATGACTATTAAAACGATGCCTGTGCCTGTAACTCCTGTACCGTGTGGATGGGAGTGGCTCTGGGTATTGTATTGTGGGGTGAAGGGTTGTAGTGCTGTGCAGATTTGGCCCAGGAGCCCCTCTGTGATGGGTGGAGAGGTAGCTGGGCCCCATTTGAGTGAGTGGCACTGCTACCCTTCAGGCCAGGTTGCAATGCCACAAGCAGCAGGGTTCAGCTCTGTGGAACAGGAGCTGTGCTGCAGGGTGCGTGAGGGGTGGGATTGCTCTGAGGACCCCACATCCTTTGGGGGCAGGACCTGCCTCTTGGACAGGGAAGAATACAATGAAATTCCCAAAACATTAAACAAAAAATATAAAATTAAAAAAAATTCCTTGGCTCTAGAAATTACTGAGTCTGGGTGTGGAATATTGAATTTGTAGCTAACTGCTGCAGATAAAAAGGCTTCTGCATGACTCATGGCTTGTTAATCCAAAAACTGTTTATGCTATTTGAATCATCTAGGGTCAAGAGCTCTGTTATATAGGATGAAAACTTCTGAGTGGGCATGCACATGAGCTTGTTTTTAACTCCCTAACAGTGGAGAGGGAGCGGGAGAGAGTGAAGGTGAGGGTGAGTGTGTGTTGAGGGCAGTGTATGGGGAAGCTAGTCTGCTCTGATGTATTCTCAGAGGGTGTTTGATATCTGTTACTGATAGATAAACGTGTGCACAAAAAGAGGCCTTAAGTGGACTTGTTGTTTGGACTTCTGAATGAAGTGGACTTTTGACTGAATTTCATTTTTCAGCTCTTGAAAGAAATGGACAGAGGGAATAAAAGCTTTGTGAGACTAATAAAGTTGAAAAAACTGGTTGTTGATTTTCTGCTAGTCAGTTACATATACAGGAGCTTGTGAGCCTTCTGGAGTTTGACAGAAATCAGTCCACAATTTCTAGGAAAGGCTGCTTATGAGTTTTTAAGTATATGGTTCATATAGACTGGAACATACCTGTTCTGTATTAAAGAAGCAGCCATGTTTCTGCTTAAAGCTCAGTGTTTCATCTACAGTCAGGTTGTCCTGAAAGTTGCTTGGTCAAGTCATGGGCTAGGGCGGAATTTCTGGGGGAAACTTGAATTCATTTGAACATGTTTTTTGGGGTGGTGAGGATCCTAACAAATAACCCTTTAAACCTTTTTTTATTTTTTGAGCAGAAAAAGGACTTACCACAAGTTTGTGCAGAGATGGGGGGGAAGTGGTGGATGGGAGACTCTTGAAACTATTGATAGATTTTTCCCTTTCTGAGAATTAGTGTCTGATACCAAAAAGAAGGCCCATAACTTAATATTTGAAGTTAAGCACTTTTGAAACTGAGTACTCTTCATCCGCTAATGGATTGCTGGCATAGTAAGACTAGCTCTTCACTTCCCTTCTCTGAACTGACCAAGTTATTTAGGGGGAAAGGAAGATAATAGCAGTTGTTCTAGATGTTTCAGGAACACAGCTAACAACTTAGCTCTTGCAGTAGGTGCTGAAAATGGTGAACTTCCAAGTTGGAATCCACTTCTTTGACCCGTTTCCCTTGCAACAATCTAGGCTCCCCCAGACTCCCTCCAAACACTTTCTTCTTAAACATCTCTCATTCCAAGACACATGTTTAGTGAACCACTGATGCTCCACTTGGCTGCAAGCTATTGATGGATATTCCACTCCCGCAGACCTTCATCTAACCTTTTCCTGTTTCCTGTTGACACATCAAGATAAAGGAGGATAGAGGAGGCTGTCAAGAGGGCTGAAGTTGAGGGAAAAATGTCATCTTCATGTTTCTTTCTTTTTTAGATTTAAAAGTATTTAAAAGTTGAATTTTTAAATAATTTTATCTTCTCCATTCCTATCCATTGCTCCCATCCCCATTTGCCATCCAGTTACAACTTTTCCCACATTGCAACCTGATATGGGTTTGCTGTAAACTCCCTTCCATAGCTAATCCTTCCCTGAAACTTGGTTAGACATTGAGCAGCACAGGCTGAATCGAATGAGGTGGGCAATAAAATGTTGGAGCATTGCTGCCCATTCCAAGTACACATCAATACATGTTGAAGGACTGTAGGAGAGATTAGAGCTCTCCGAACTCTACCAGGGCTTTTAGGGAAGAGGTACAGTTGCCCCAAATAGGAAAATTTCTCAGGGAAAAAATGAAGCCACTTCAGAGCTTCTGCAAAGTACTCCACTTTAGGCAGGAACAATCCGTTCCACACTTACAGAATGGGAAGCGACTGTCTAGGAAGGAGTACTGCAGAAAGGGATCTAGGGGCCATAGTGGACCACAAGCTGAATGTGAGTCAACAGTGTGGTGCTGTTGCCAAAAAAAAATCAAACATGATTCTGGGATGCATGAAC